TACAAGTGTATGCAAAAATTTGAACACCCCTGGTCAAATTAAATGTTTAAGTTAACACTTCTCTTTTACTTCTGACTTGTGGCACTTTTTAAAAGGCCTTAGAAGGGCTGCACTCACCATTGGTCAACTGATTTGGAGTAAAAGCAAAAAATAAACCAGGAAAAATTAGCATATAGAAACAAATTAAAGCAAAAACTTTAGGTTAATAGTTAGGTTTCATTAAACTCTCATTATTTGCATTTGCAACATATTTAGGACACTTTGAAACTTTATTTTGCAGATTTGTATTATTTTATTTGAAACTTTTTGCGCATAGAAAATGTGCCATAACTTTTGCACAGGCAGTGTTTTCCCTCCAGTATGTTAAACCCAGCGAATAAACAGTGACTGTGCAATAAAATGTGCAGAAGTGTGTTCGCAGTAGAGGATGCACCCCTGTAACTAATGAGTCGTGTACTATAAGGTTGCAGGTCTAAATGATAGAACACAAATAAAAAAGTCACTTTGCTCGGCTTTTCTCTGTCACACAACGATCACGTCTTCCGTCGGTTGTTCCTTTGTGTCAGAGACGTCTCCCTCTTCTCCTCCTGGATTGCTCAAACGCCCTGAAGCTCACAGCTTCCTTTGTCTTCGGCAGTGCTGCATAAGTATCGCTGCCAAGAGTCGGCAGAGACTTCAGCACATTCTCAACAACGCAGTCAGTGTTTGTGCAGAGTACGAAAACAGCCAGGCCGTTCCAGCCTTATCTCTGATCTCACATCTGCTCGGCACAGCCGGACCCCAGTGGTCTTACAAAAGGGCAGTGTGGGTCCAAGCTTTTGCTGCAGCCAAGCAGTAATGTACCTGATTAAACTCATTAAAATCTTGGTTGAAAGCGCGCACATACACACACACACACACACACACACACACACATCTTCTAAGCCGCTTATCCTTCTGGGCCGTGGGGGAAGCTGGAGCCTATCCCAGCAGTCAATGCGTGAAAGGCAGGAAACACCCTGGACAGGTTGGTTGAAAGCAGTGAAAGTGATATTTTGGCAAAAAAACATCAAATTTGCATAATTTGCAAAGACAAACGTAGCTAAGTAATGGAAGCTTTTAGCCACTAGTTAGCATTATGTAAGCTTCATGCCTAAATTATTTTCCTCAAACTGCGTTAAATAAAAATAGTCAAAAGTATAGATAAAATTAGAGCTTCAGGATGGTCTGAATTACCACACACTTACCACAAACCATGTCGGTCAAAATAGACAGAATTACGGCTTCATGGTGGCTATTACTGTTGTTTTTAGCAATTCATTTGCTAGCTTAGCGATGTATTTTTGTCCATTTTTATAGGTAACTGTATGACATACAGTGTCAGAAGCCACAAAAGCAAGTCTGTTTGAGATTACTGAACCATTTGATGTGGTTTGAGGCAGGTTTGTGATGATTTAGGCGTGCAGTTAGTTAGCACAGTGCTAATTGCTGTTCAGAGGCTTCGGTAGCGAATTAGCCTAATAGCTTCAGTACACAAAGGAAGATGCAAACTTCAGACATAAACTGCAGATGGCAAGCATATATCAGTCAGCTGGCATATGAGGTCATTCTGTGCCACTGCTGGTCCACCCTCGGACCACCCAGATGATTGTCCTGCACACAAGGTCTGACTTCACATAACCCTTTATTTTAACATTAACGATTAGACTTAACGTAAAATGATTGTGTTGAAAATATTGATGATAGCGCTGGGCTAGGTTGGTTACAGGTTTATAATCGGCTTAATTTATGATAGTACTGTTAACATTATGTACTGAACTCATTTAGAAAGGGCAACCAAAGGAAGAAAAGAAGGAAAAATAAGTAAATTGGACTGTGAGTGAAAAAAAGCGATGAAAAGTGGCATTTTGATTAACATTCTGCTTAAACACCTTTAACTCAGCTTACTTCTACTTCTAACTCTAACTTACTACGATGCCAGTCATACAGGCGATTTCTGTTTTTCCAAAATTTCTGCATTTTAAAATGGCGTAAGACGTAAACAAAGTTCATTCAGAGTGGTTTGGTGTGAAACGCTCTGTTCTAGAGAAACTTACCGAGTCAGAACTGTTCACAGTGGTGGTGATAGGAACCAGACGTCCACCTCTAAAAGCTCCCTCACAGAAAGTTACTACATGAAAAGGTCAATACACTGCCTGATGTCTGAGCCCTGTTTTTGATCGTTTATAGAAGGTTTTGGCCCAAAACATGTTTTTTAAAAACTAAATACATGGGCGTTGTATGGCGAAGTAGTCCCTATTTTCCCCTATTTACTACTATTTTATCCATATAAAAATTCCATTTAAAACCTCAGAAGACACATGGATGTTAATTGGTCATTTTGGATAGTAAATAAAATGAGGGGCGCAATGTCTACACTGAGACCCCTGGCTCCTGTCACAACCACTGTAAAGAAATCAGTCTGTAAGTTTCTCTACAACGATCTATTTCACGTCAAACCACTCTGATTTTAAAGTTAATTTAACAGATATTAAGAGCTTTTTTTCCCATCGCTAATCAGGTTATGACTTTGAAGATACAAAGCTAAAAAAAAATAAATAAATTGATAAAATAGTGGACGTCCTTTTTTAACACTGACTTACTGGACATGTGCTTAGTCATAAAGCTAAAGTGAATGTTTTATGGAGAAGCACAAATGATGCAATTTAGTTCAGCAGTATGTTTAAATTACCAATCAGCACCATCATTTTTCAGTCCAAACAGTGCCAGGCTCATGTGAAGAGGGTTTTTACAGCTGTTCTTTACTCTGTAAAATGGAACTTTTCCCTCACGATTCCGAGCAGAATTCCGAGCAGGCTGTGAGATGCGTCTGATAAACAGAGTGATTTATGCGGCAGGCTATGGCCAGAGCTGGAGGCGCTCCAGTAAGAGTTCTAGAAAGCCCGTCCGTGTCAGCTGCGAGGCCACTTTGGCCGCGTATGTGCCGAGGAGAATCTGGAGAATGCCTGGAAGCTCACACTCCGATCATAAAGCAGCTGCGCAGTGTCTGATTCTCCAGCCCTGAAGAAACTCTAAAGGAGGGCCAGTGTGTCTTATTGTGGGGTCTTTCGCTAAAACTCTACAGAAACGGGGGGAGATGGAGGGGAGAACACAAGTGCAAATAAACATTGCATTTATACACATTAAGAAGACCAGTTCCAGTTTGTTTTTAGCATGTGACATATAATAAAGTTTTTATTTGATATGGAAATTAAAAATACAGTGAAATCAGCAGGACTTTTCCATGCAGATCCGTGTGAACATCCTATTAAGCGTTGAATAAATTAACTTGCAGTTCACTGGAAGCTGAAAAGGAGCTACGTTTCTTAAGCTCAGTAATAAATTTATTGTACGTGGTCAGATGTCGTTCAAGTGGTTGAATTAAAAAATGAATGAAATGAACCTTTTAGCCAACTTTGTGTGAACACATCAGAATTAGACCTCCACATTTAACCCATCCGTGCAGTGAAACACCACATACACACTAGTGAACACACACACTAGGGGGCAGTGAGCACACTTGCCTGGAGTGGTGGGCAGCCCTATCCACGACGCCCGGGGAGCAGTTGGGGGTTAGGTGCCTTGCTCAAGGGCACTTCAGTGACGTACTGTCACTGTCAGCTGAGGGGATCGAACCGGCGACCTTCCGGTCACAAGGGCTGGTTCCCTAACCTCCAGCCCACGACTGCCCCCAAAGATCTGCTCCAGGTGAGGCTCGAACTCACAACCTCGGCATTGCTCTGCATTGTACTGCTGTGTAAGTTCCGCGCGCTAACCGATTGCGCCACTGGAGCTCCAAACTGTCTTCCATTTTAAACAGTAACTTTAAACACCTACATTGCACAGCTGTCTCCCTGTTTGTACAATCGAATGCAAAACTTTGAACACTTCCAGTAAAATTGAATGTTTTTTTTTTTTATTTTTATAAGTGAAAATACGTTACCACATCCTCTGACATCGTAGTGCACAGCTTCTTTATTTTCTGTTTATTTGCTGAGTTTAACATATTGGGGAAAAACTTAACACACAAATGCATTTAGATGTGCTGAACTGTGTACTCTGAAGAGGATGTGTTGCCTTGTTTTCACTTACAAAATCAACGAAAAGTTATTTGACCAGGCGCTTTTGCATATAACTATAACTGCTTAGAACTGAACATCAACAAATGAAAAAGGGCAAACACTTTATGCTGACAAAACATTTAAAAACGTTTCTGTCCTAAAACACTGTTTATCTAGCTAACATTGGCGTGTTAGCTTTGTAAGTCTGGTTTTACACATTTTAATTGTTGCCCTGAGCAACTTGGCTTAAGCTTTATGGCCATTTTTTATGGTGGCACTTTTTTGCTCATCAGGCCTTTAAAATCAGTTTCTGCAATTTAATGTTCTTTCTAGAATGCGGTAACTTTTAACAGGGAAATTATGAGATGTAGTTGTTTAAAATGTCCGTCACGGGAAACTTACTTTCATAGCTTTAGATATAATGCATTATAATGTAACCAGTTGAACCGCATTTGATGATGGTGATACGCATATCGCTACGTCAGCTTTCATTTAGCCATTCAAGTTGTTTACAAATGCTTAACCTGACGTGAATTCAAAGATCAAATCTCTTTTAAAAGCGGAAGTTCTAACGTTGCATACAGTCGTATGCAAAAGTTTTGGCACCCCGGTCAAATGACACGTGAAAACAAGGACATGTCCTCTACAGAGAAAACATTTAAATGCACAATTGCTGTTTGTTTGCAGAGTTGAACATATTGAGGGGAATAAGAAACATAAAATGTGGCCTGTGCAACAGTTATGACACATTTTATATTTAATTTTTATTCCGATATGTTAAAAACAGAAACTATGCAGTATCATGTAGAAAATCAACGTGTAATTTGTATTTAACTGAGGGTGTTCAGACTTTTACGACTGTGTACAGCGTATAATGTACACATAGTAAACGTGTTTATCTTTGCCATGCTCTCTTTAAAGGGCCCGATTACATCAAGCAGAGGTTTTCCAGCGAGCCAATAGAGATTAAAGAAGTTCCCGAAGAGAAAAAGGAGAAATCCCCCTCAGGAAGCCCCCATTTCTATCGCAAGGGCACCACGCCCACCCAGACGCCCACCCAGAGCCCGGGCCCCACCCCGCCACCCTCGCCACCACCCGGCAAGAAGAAATCCTTCTTCAACCGGAGTGCCCCGAAAACTGCCAAAGAGAGCAAAGTGCCCGCAGCCGAGAGCACGGCCAAACCCGCCGCGAGGACGTCCGCCAAACAGGACGCGAAGCAGGAAGTGGTTCCCGTCCCACACTCGTCCGCACCCCACAAGCCGACGGCGCAGGTCGCCAACCCCTCGAGCCCCGGAAACGGCGAGCTCCACTCACAGTACCACGGTTACTATGTGAAGGCGGAAGTTATGATCCCGCCTGAGGAGCCGGAGGACGAGGGGCATCATGCCACTCCCACCGCACTGGCCAGGATGCCGCCACCCACCAAGCAGCAGTACACCTCCGTCAGCTCTGGGGGCTCCAGCGTCAGAGAGAGCAAGCCAGAACCCAAGCTGAGGAAGCAGGAATCTCTGAAGCCAAAGAGTCTAGCAGAAACCAAGAAAGCCAGCATGGAAATTACCACTGACGTGGTTGAGGAAGAGTCAGTAAGTAAAGTCATCGTAACTAAAATCATGTGTCCTGTAGATGCTCGAAGGGCCCTTATTCTGGCTGTTTTTGTTACTGCACCATTAAGAAACACTCCTTATAACTTCAGTATGAATGGGCGGGGCTAAACTGCTGTCGGCTAAAATAGGTAGATGTATGTAAACCTGTTGTAAACAGTGAATACAAAACAGACTGTTTTTGCGGCTTGGTTTACATATATAGCCTGTAAGGACTGGAGAGTGAACCCTGTGTTTTATACTACATCAAACTTACTTATTTCAAGAAAGTGAGGAAGTATTCCATGATTCCATGTTTTTTTTTTCTTGTTTAAATAAATATTTACATAAATTGGCGAACGTCTCCTTGACATCGAGATTACAGCTGTCAGTAAACTAAACCATTAGAACATCGCTTAGTAAATAAATATTGGCAGGCGTTTACAGGTTTGATCCCACGGCCATCCATAATGGCATAATTGGCCTTGCTGTCCGTGGGTTGGCTGGATGGTCCTCCTACTCAGCATGATGCTAGCCAATGTGTGCTTCTGTTACCTGACACTGTGTTAGCAGCAGTTCGACAAGATCTGGTGGTGATTCACGTCTCAGAGGAAGGGTTTGCTAACCTTCATCTTCCCAGGTTTGAAGCATTATGTGACGGCATTATAATATTAATAATAATAATAATAATAATAATAATGACAATCTTTATTTATATAGCACTTTTTATGCTGGTGGCAGCTCGGAGTCCTTTACAGACAGCTTAACAGTAATACAAAAAATTATGAGTACTAATAAATCATTAAAAAGTGACAGAGGGGCTGAATTGGCCGAGTTGAAAAAACTAGCAGTTGCTAATTGAGTTGCTAATTTAATCTTTGTTGTGTCCACTCCTCTGTAGGGTCCTAACTCAATCCTGGTGGCACTAGTGATGCTGATAAATATCGGACTAGCAATTATTTTCGTCCATTTCCTGACTTGACGCATCATCAAACTCAGGTAAGACGCTGATCCGAATTCACTAAGGCTGATGCTCCCTCCCTGCAGAAATACCTGAGCAGGTGTTCTCAAAGCATCCGAGGTCAGATCAGCTTCTTCCGAATCTGATCCTCGATCTGCTCTTCTGTTGCACCATGCTTTGAGAACACATGCACCTGTTTGTGGCTGCTTTCCCAGCTAGCGTAGAAATTTTTTGATGTGCAATTGACCTGTCCGTGCTCCACCCCCAGGTGCGTTCTTTCATAGCTACTGTTGCGAGGTTGGACAAGTTCTACTGAACGTTGGCAAAAATCCCATTCAAGATGATAAGGAACTGTAGGGGTTGTAGAGGGCATTGTTAACTTCAATTTAAATCAAATTAGTTGCAAAGATCACAGTTAGAACAGATTTAGTGCAACATCTTCCTGCGTCACAGCATCCGTCCCTTACCTTTATGGAGACTTGGTGTGGCTTATCATTTCATCATGTGATGTGAGATTTCTATCTGTTTGTCTCACTCCGTCACTAAGCAGCTTGACCTCATTATAACACAACAACATATTGTTTTGATTTCAGTTTTTTTGCTGTAGTGTCGATATTTACTCCGTGGGAAGGTTTAATCACATCACTTTGTTTCCCGCAATCTTGAAGACCTTGTTTAGCAGCAGACCATGAGAAGCAGTCAGCTCAGTCGAAAGATATAAACAAACAAGACTAGGCAAGCCTAGTTTTACTGGACCTCCACCAGCAGCATGGCATTTCTCACACAAGTGTCTGTGACAACAGGATAGAGGTTCTCTATTTTTAGAAATATCACTTTGTAAAGTTACATTTGTACACCAATGTAATGTTAGCTAACTTGACATCAGCATCACATCACTGTGAACACCACTACTAATACTACTATTAATAATAATATTATAATAATAAATAAAATGTTTAGTAACTATTCAAGCAAACCAATCTATTTATAATATATAGATTGGTATAAATTAAATAGGACTCTTATATATTAAATAGGACTCTTATTATGATAGCAGTGGCATTCGAGGCTCTCTGCTACACAGTCATCATCTTGCCCTTGCCCACTTCGAATCACTGCCCGAATGTGCATCACATTTGTGATACACAAGTGGTCAGTCGTCGCAGAAGGGTAGAGGGGACAGTGAGGAGCAGATCATTCAAAGACAACACACTCGCCCTCAGCAGGCTAGCCTTAGTGGGCTAATTGGCTGGCCGTGCAAACTTTGCAATGCAAAATGTATTTTTGAGAAGATTGAGCATAACGTGCAGAACATTCGTGTGAAATTGCTCCGCCTGGCTGTAGATTTGGGCCCAATCCCATTTCTTCTTTTTACCCCTTCCTCTTGTTTTCGAGTGTCACCCTAACCCCTTGGAACGGAGTTACAAGGGGTAGTGGTTGGAAGCTTGCCCTACGAAATGGGACAAAAAAACCAAAACAAACATTGCTTGATTAACGGCTGCTATCGCTGCTCTGTAGGCGATCCGGCCCGTCTTCAGTGATAGCAGAGAAGGGAAAAGTTCAGCTGCTGGGCTTTAGTTACATTTAGGGCATCATATGCTTTCAAAGAGGAGGTATAAGACAAATATTTATTATTGCCCACCACTGATTCTTCAGTGATATGACGCTGAAGTCAGCTATTCACAGCAGAGTCCAGCTTCTTGTTTGAATTTTCTCGTTCCACCTTAAATGAAGCAGCAGTTACATTCTGGCGCTTCAGGCGTCAGAACTGCCGGACTATTTAAGGTGGAACGGAAAGTTCGCTGGGTAGCTAGCTACCGAGACATTAGCTTCCTATTAGCGATTTTTTATGCTTGTTATAAAGATAACAACCATAATACATTGAAACGACATTAAACTAAGATAAAACTGTGGTTTTCGTGATTTTTTAACGGAGAAAATTCTCACATTTGTGGGTTTCTTTGGTCTCTTGTTCTCCATCTTGACGGTTTTTCTTTTTTTCTCATAACTCTCTGTTTGGAGTCTCTGAAAAACCTCTGTTTGGAGGGTCATGTAGCCCCAGCACTTCACCCTACCCCTCTGTCTCAACAAGAATTGGGACACCCTACCCCTAGACGTGAACACGGAAAACAGAGGGCTAAGGGCTCAGTGGTCGGGGCGAGGGGTGAAATGGGATTGGGCCTTGGTGTAGACCCGTGGTGTGGTGCCTTTTTAATGATGATTAGCCAGCCAGCCAAGTAAAATCATGAAGTTGTATCAGCAGTAGAGTTACACAATAGAGTCGTTGTCAGGCCAAAGCCTGTCAAATCGAATGTCATGTTTTTGAAATGTTAAGCGATTTAAAGTCATTTTTCTGTGGTTTACATCTTTATATGGCCTTATTTTCAAATTTGCAGTGATTTCTGGGCAAATTCTGCTGCCCATGGGCAGTTGTATACGTGCATTTATTAAAGGATTTGCAAAGGATACAGAATCTGACTCCTCTTTGCATGCACGCACGTCACACAGGCAAATGGACGCTACCGATTACACTCGCAAATTTGGTTGTTCCTATGTTAATAACCAAAATCACGATTAAGATCTGTAACATCCATATCCCTGCGCGACACATGGGCATGCAAAGTTGAGTCGGATTCTGCCAGCGAGATGGAATCCGGCACTACATCAGCAAATACAGTATCCAAAGAGACAGAGCCATACCAGCTTACAAGGTGGAGTAATAATAGAGGATTTTATCACAGGAAGTTGTAAACTTTCAAGGCTAATTTGGCAAAGACTGACCAAAATTTTGGGCGTGAGGCTAACAGGACTGAAATGAGATGACTTTTAGCATTTAGAGAAGCTTTAAAACTCAGTGAGACAGAGATGACATCGATAAGGTTACAGCCTACGTCGCAATCCTTAATAAATAACAGTGGCAGCGATGATTTCCTTTGTTTTCTCAGTAGCCATGAGACCGTATCTCTTTCAGCCCTCGCCAACGAGTAAAAGCCAGTCTTGCTTGGTCTCTCTCTTTGTCTCTTGCTCACTTACTCCGGCGTCTTCTTCTTTGGTCTCTTCGCAGCCTCTGCTGTGATGTCCATGCTGGGAATACCAAGCTAGCTTCTTCTTATAGCCAGCTGAAGACCCATAGCTGTTAGTGTGTGATATGGTGCTGTAAAGTGTTGCACAGTTCTTGCGAGAGGTTTGGTGCCGTGCTATAGCAGGCATTCCAGGTCTGGAGTGGCAATGACAGAGACGCCGTTCTCACTATTGTAAGTCAGTGTAACCATCAAAACAATGTAGAAGCTGTTATTTTTAGGGTGAAACTGATACATAATGTTGCTTTAAATGTGTAACACTGACCTTAAATTTCACTGTTTTAAGGAGGTAAATACAACATGACCATTAAAGTTAGCACTCCCGTTACGTTAGGCGGCTAGCTTGTTTTTAACTTTAAGAAAGCATCCATGTTTTTCCCCACTTTGAATCTCAATCCTGCAAATGTCAATTATGAAATTCTGCAGTATTAAACTCTAAGCTGAAGGATTTGCTGTGCAACTGCAACATACAGAATAAAAGTATGTGTGAATGTCTTACAGACTTTTTAAAACGAGTGTTTGAGATAGAAATGCTATGAGTAGTATTACACCCAGGGTAGGAAAGTGATTATTCAGCACTGTTAGCTTGGCACCAACACAGTCCTGTGGTCTCCAACCTTGGTCCTGGAGATCTACCTTCCTGCAGAGTGTAGTTTCAGACACCGTTTGCCACACCTGCTCCAGCTAATCAATGTCTTACCGAGTCCCTGATTGGCTGGGTCAGATGTATAGGAGTTAAGTTTGGGGCAGGGCAGCTAATTGGATACAGGGTGAAACTAAACTCTGCAGGAAGGTAGCTGTCCTGGACCAGACCGCTGCATTAGTCACTAAAGGAAATTATCTTCAGCTAAGCTAGGATAATCGCTGACAAAGTCTCCTCATAAACCAAAGCCTTTTTTTTCCCACAATTAAAATTAGTTTGAAGTAAATATTCTGACATGAGGTATTTTGACAAAACTCTGATTTGCCAACGTTCCAACCTCACAACAGCACCTGTGAAACGACGCATTTGTGGGCGGAGCATTGATGGGTTAGTTGCTCTTGCAGTTGTGCCTGAATGTGATGAAACATAATCACTGACCCTCTAACTGTTTTGGCCCTTCAGCGAGTTCTTCAGAACGCGCGGCGTAGGCCCCATAATTCTCTGCAGTTGCGTCGACGGCCTTTAGACACACGCCGCTCAGACTCAGACACAGGCAAAGGACTGGACGACTGGAATTAGAGCGAAAACGCTGGGGGAGAACGTCCCGGAGCTGAGAACCACCCCAGTTCCTCCGGCCACGATTTGAGACTCGCTTGGGCTCTGTGAAAGCTGAAGCAAAGCAGTCGTTGGGAAAGGAAAAAAATAAAAAATAAAAAAATCTGCTGATCCAAGCCGTTCCCAGTCAAGTGCATGGGCGCCCCACTGCTGTGGGACGGACTGGGCTGGGCGGGGGGGTTGGGGATGGTTGAGAAGGGTATGGGAGGGTGGTCTTAACTGGATATGTTCGGAGATGCACTTTTAGTTGACGGAAGCGAACAGCTGCCTTACTATTTTACCATCTGACGTTGTCAAGGGGAGATGTGCAGTGCGATGCCAGTGTGTGTGTGTGTGCGTGTGTGTGTGTGTGTGTGTGTGTGTGTGCGTGTGTGTGTGTGTGTGCTTGGACACCAGAGAGTGTGTACCAGCGTCCACTCTTCGCTCAGATCAAAACACCATGCACATTAAAAAAAGGGTCACTTGCCAGTCTTATTGCGTTAGCCGTCTCTGAAGCCCTTGTCTAACACCTCTTGCTCACTTTGTTTTTAGGAGGTTGATCAATGCCATGCTTGCGTGTGGTACTAGTTTAACTTTGTCTTGATCATTTGTTTCTTTGTGTGTGTGTTTTTTATTTTTCTTTTTCTATATACTTTTATATCCATCCTTCAAATATGAAAAAACGTCAGGTTTTGTCCTCTAAAACAGTGTCAGTGGTGGGACAGCTTTCGAAGGCGATATTTTGTGCTACCATGTTTAGACTTATTCATTGTGCTAATATAAGATACAAGCATTTATGATTGGCTCACATAAAAACTAGGGACGCACCGATCCGACAGTTCAATTTAACATCTGTTTATTTTAATTGAAGAGCTTATTCCAAAACATGACATATCTATTTTACGAAGGATTTTTAAAAATGATGCGCACTGGACAAGTATTTCAAGGTTTTTCTATTTTTCCCCAGTAATTTTGGGCTGCGAAGTCTGTCACTGTAAACATCTGACTGTCAGCTTATTATCTCAAAATTGCTCAAAAATCTAACAGTATTTCAGTTCGTAAGTCTACATTGGTAAAAAGTGTGAAATAGTTATTTGCTAAAGAAGTTGGTGTGAAGCACCAGGACTTTTATTGTGATGCACTGTGTCACACTTTAAGAGGGGCTTTTATTTTGACACGCTATTGATGTGTATCAGGTTTTGGAATGACACTTCCATTTTAAAGCGACCGTGTCTAAGAAACAGGACTGATAATAAATTGATCACGTCTGGACGATACCCAGTCCATTTAATAAGGTCAGTATCGGTGCCAGTGTATCGGATCGGTGCATCGCTAATAAAAAAAAAAAAATCAACGTGTGAATTTTTCAAGAAACTTGAGTTATACAAATAGAATTGTATCATTGGGTTGAGTAGCAGTTCTTATAAAGTGCAGATATTGTAAAATATAGGATTTTATGCATGGTGTTTATTTATTTTTGTATTTATTTATTTCTTTTGAGGAATGATTGATTGTTGCACTGGATTTTGCACATGTAGTGGTCAGAGACTGTGCTGGTTTAGACCTTTTAACCCCTACTCTCACCGGACGCGTACACACAACACCCCGAGCGGTTGAATGCATTCAGGTTGAGCCACTGGGTCTGCAGGTTGAATGTAGACAGATGCCTTAAAGGACTTTTATTTTTTAAAAAAAGTGTTATAGTTTACCTCAGAAAATTAGTGATTTTTTTTTTTTTTCAATTTTGTCTTAATTTAATTGGAGATTTTATTGAAATCTGATATTATTCTGTAGTATATTTATTTGTCTGGTGGTGCATGAAGAAGTGGTTTTACTTTAGATTAAGCTCTATGTGGCAGTTTTGTGCCAGTATTTGAACTAAATAATATATAAATGCATATATTTTATATACATAGTATGAATATATATATTTAGTTGTTCTATACCTAAATTATATTGCGCATCTTTTTTCATTTTTTGGCGGGTTAATTTGATCATCTTGTGTGCATGGTACATTTTGAAGTTGGTTACTGCTTTAGGCTCGTTATTGAGAGACGTCGCGTGAGTGTGTGTGCGTGTGATGGACGGGCAGATCTCCGGGTTTCGGAGCAGTAACGGGGCGACTGTTTTTGCAGAGGTTTGGTCAGACTGCGAGAGCATGTGAGATGGAGGGAAGGAAGGAGGAGCGTCAGATGGGAAAAGTTGAACCATCTTCAAACAATGTTTTTTTTTGTTTTGTTTTTTGTTTTTAGGGGTTTTGAACTGAGGAAGTTGTTAATTTTTTTGTTTTGTTGTTCTTTTTTTTTTAGGATAGGGGAGTGTCCCCTTTGCATCATATTTATATAAAGTGGCTATGTAAATGGCTGTATTTTTTTTTTCTTTTACGTTTTTATTCCATCCTAAATTGAAGCCAAAAAAAAAGTTCTAAAATAAGAGCCCCCTATTGGTCTGACTTGCACCAGTGAAGAATATCTGTGCTATTTTTAAGCATTTATACAAAGTTCAGCTAAATTTGTCTGTATTTTTCTAAAAACATAAAACTTATTTCAGTAAACTTATGTTTTGATGGGAAAAAGTATATGATTGTATTGCATTTGATAGTATTGGGTATTGAGTCGATTTGATATTTTCAGAATTGAATCTTAATGTTTTCATTTTGGTATTGACTGTCCCTCAAACCTTTAATTGTTTAAGTTATAAGTTATAATAAAAAAATAATGACTTTACAATTTTCATGTATGCATCTTCAATGCTTGGTCCCCTAACATTGCCATTCACTTTCCCACATTACTGAAGAAGGAAGGACCGAATTAAAGAGTAAAGCGTAGGATTTGGGTGGGAGTTCCCCATGCTATAGAGCTATAGAGCAGCTCATGGCCCCTATAGTTACAGTGCAGTTTATTTTAGACACCCCCCACCCCACCCGCCCCTCGACCACAGTGTGAAAACTGGCGCTTGTCTGGGGGACAGCAGTGGTGATCCTCAGACAAATATAGTTACCGACAGCTGCTGCTGGACCAAAGCGGCCGTCTGCTCCCTCTCTGTCTTCCTTTCTATTTCTCTCTCTCCCTCTTTCTTCCCATGTTGTTCTTTCTTTCTCTTTCTGTCTTTCTTCTCTCTCAGTATCCCTTCATCTGATGTCCTCTGTGTGTATCTCTCCCTCTGTCTCTTTCTTGCCCTACGCTTCTGTCCCCCTGTTTCTCTCCCTCTTTCTCTTCCACGCTGTCTCTGTCCTTGCCTCTGTCTCTCTCTCTCTCTCTCTCTCTCTCTCTGGAATGGAAGGTCATACTGCACCTGCTTTTCTGCGCTCTTTCTGCATGTGAACATGGGCTGCGCTGACGTTACTGTAGAAAGAAGCCAGAGCGAATTACCGCTGCTTCCAGGCCTGTGCCTGAGCTGAATCTTGGTGAAAAATGCTAGCATTGCTAATCACGAAAGGAAGCTAGTTGGGGCCAGCTAGCATTACACAAATCAGGCTCACTGGCTTCCTCTTGTCACTGATTCACATCCATGTTAGTATTTTTAGGTGGTGTGTTTCTTCAGAGATTTTATTTGGTGCAGAATTACACTTGCAGTTTTCCCCCTTACCCTGAATGTAGTTACTCAGCCAAGACATCCTGCAGTCTGGCTTCCAGAGCAGGGGCATCACCTGGCCTGGGCTTCCAGGGCTATAGCCCCAAATATGTTTCAACCAGCCCCAAACCAACACTTGTTTTATTCAGGGGCACATTTAACCGCCCCTCAAACTCTGCTATTAAGAATGCAGCTAGACTATAACATTACTAGAGAGACTGCAAGAGAGACAGTGTGCAAGCACACACAATTTTGGGGAAAAAGGGCAAATCTACTTCATTAAAAAAACAATTATTGGAAAACAAACCCAGCTGGATTCCCATGTTTTGCACGAAAAATCACATACACACACTCGTAATACTGGCGACCTGTCCAGTGTGTTCCCTGTCAGTGAGTGCTGGGATAGGCTCCAGCATGAATGAATGAATATACACCCTCAATGAATTATATCTACACTCATTGTCCATTTTATCAGCTCCACTGACCATATAGGAGCACTCTGTAGTTCTACGGTTACAGACTGTAGTCCATCTGTTTCTCTGCATACTTTGTTACCCTGTTCTTCAATGGTCAGGACCCCCAAAGAACAGGTATTATTTGGGTGGTGGGTCATTCTTCGCACTGCAGTGACACTGGCGTGGTGGTGGCGTGTTAGTGTGTGTTGCGCTGGTACGAGTGGATCAGACACAGCAGTGCTGCTGGAGTTTTTAAGCCCTGTGTTTCTTTTAAGTGCAGTATTTAACATTCTTTAACATAAAACAAGAAGGTAAAGAGCTGAAAACTGCGACAAATGCAGTCCATTAATAAAGCAACATTAAACTTCTATAAGATCAAAACTCGGATAATCCTAAGGCTGAACCTCAGGCGGCTCACTGCTCCCTATATAGTGCACTGTGTAAGTTATGAAATTTTACACCCAAATATTGGTCTTTATGTCCAGTATGAATTGTGCACACACGTCTGAATCCAAAGTGGTTCTCTGTTAGACTCACTGTGCTCTGTTCAGATGGAGTAGTCGTTATTTTAAGACCTACGTGCTGCACTTTATAGGGAGAAGGGAGTCTTTTAAGATTCGGCCTAAAACGGTTGGCTGAGTGGATTTATTGGGTTCTGCTGGAGAACAACGTTGGCGTTCAACTGTTTCTGCTGTAAAATGTGAACTTGCTACGCCTTGACAATGAACTATAATGGCTTTTGTGACCAAATATATTTAGGCTTCTGAATTAGTGTTAGAATAACTCACAACAGTCAGCTTGTTTTTTTAAGGATCTTGCAAATGAACTCTTTACATAAATAATCGACTTCAATTGAATCTAATCAATTGACTCGATTCAGTTCGATTGAATCTAATCAATTGATTCGATTCAGTTCGATTGAATCTAATCAATTGTTTCTCTGTTAGTAGACATTAGGGAGCAGATGTGTTGGAGATGGTTGATGTAGAGAGGAAATGTGAAGAGGTCTTTAATATCGGGGGAACATCTGTTTTCTATTGCAAGCAGTGTTTTCAGGCATCTTTTCTCTTGGTTTTTTATCATTTTGGTTTTTATAATTTTGTACGTAAAGATACATCATCATATAGACATGATGTCTATATCTTCACATTAAATTAAAAAGGTTTCAAAAATCTTATGAAGGATACCCCAAAACATTCCTACAGTCAACTGGGCTGAGCCCGGGATCTTTACATGCCCAGCGAACGCCTTCGGTCAAACATTTTGCTTCTTTAGTTTTGCCCTGAGGCTATGATGCTAATGTAAGTAGCAAACAATGGAAGCTGCCAGCTATTACCATAAAAGCACACAGATTTTAGTAGTAGTTTGAGTTGAAAGCCGTTTTGGTGATGTATTTTTATAGACACCATTTCGGTGACTATTGCGTCGCAGTGTTTGTTAGCAGTGTTAGCCTCGGCACTCCAGTTCTACCTCAGAGAAGCAAAATTTGGAATCTAAACATGTCTCTGCCCATTGGTCTTCGTCAAAGCATTCCTTTAAGCCTGAAGTTTGTCTGTACTCATTTCCTATTTTTGGAAAAGATCACACCCAGTCAGAAACATATAAAGCAAGTCTACCTTAAATTACTTAACAAATCTACATGGTGTGTGTGTGTGTGTGTGTGTGTGTGTCAGTTTAGTCGTGAGTGTACCAGTGTTCCCAGGGTCCTGCGTTCCCAGCTCTTTATATGACACATCATACTTCAGTATGGTTCATTTTACAGGGAGATTCATTTGAAAGAGGCCCCGAATATTCTGTAATAACTCTCTCTAGGACGAAGCGATCTGAACCAAACAATGTGCAATGAGCTCCTCAGTATATGGAGCTTCGAACAAGCCGATCATCCTAATAGGAGTTACAACAGAATATCCGGGGCCTCCCTGTGGAGAACCTCCCTGTAGAAACATACATGTGTTCAAGATCTGCAAGAGTGAACTGTAAGTGTAGAAAAAAAAAAGGTTTTTAATGTCATGATTAGAGTCCTGTGGTCACCAAAGGTCATACAGGAAACAACCAGGAGTGAATTTTTTCAAGAATGTATTTGCACTCGGCTTTGCTGTCCTCAGGGAGCTAATTAGCTAGCTAAGCAAACTTTGTAATGCAAATCTCTGAGAAGTCAAAGTGTAGAATTCATAACCTTTTTGAATAATCGTTGTGTTTGTGCTGGCCTATTAACCCTTAGCTTACCAACTAGCAAGGTAGCAGAATAAAGTAACAAACATCCATCAACAGATACATATAACAAAAGTTTAATAGCTCGGCCAATAATAGTTTGGACATAGCAAACCGAACATCATATTTTGAAAATATTATGTAATGAACTAAATAAATGTTACATCAAACAGGGCCAAGTTCTGCTTTTGTTGACATGATCCCTCCCTGCTTCAAGGAGTGAGTCGACCTAATACACTAAAGGGACGGCACATAAGATGGCATTTCCCCAAGAGGAGATGATGAGGGCGTGTTAAAACAGTATTTCAAAGGAGAGTAGATCAAAGATTTCAATGATTCAAAGATTCTGTGATTAGCATGAATGCTAATATTGTGAAGTTGAAATTAAGTCATGAATTGGCTAATCTAATCACCGAATAGATTCTCTCTCTTGTTCATTGAAATATTCAATCGGAATATGTTTTAACAAGAGAATCTCTTCGGAAGCGGCATTTCTGTCAACTAGATTTAAAATCGGATATTATCCACTGAACTTGAACATATCAGAATATGTGTGTAAATACATCAGAGAATTAGTGTCACTAGAACCTGAACCTGAATAATGATACTTGAAAAAAATGCATAATTTGATGTTCTGGACTAGTTTCACTGCAAATTTTAGATATTTGAAAATTCCGAGTCTGAATTTTCTTCTTTAAAATTCAGATCTTGAAAAGTACAGGTTATAAAAAATTTAGGTAAAAAAAATGAGCTCTTAAAAAGTTTAGGCTAAAAAAAATCCAGGTAGTAAAAAATTCAGGTGTAAAAATAAAAACAGATCTACAAAATCCTGGTACAAAGAGTAGCCTGGAGTTTTTTTCCCTGAAATTCCTCAACCTGAATTTTTCACTGTCATTCCAGTATGAGGTGCTGCATTTTGTAGTTTGTACAAGTTCTTTGAACGAGAATTTTGTAGATCTTTTTTAAAACTTGACTTGCTTACTAAATAAGTATTACCTAAATTTTTTGAACCTGAACCGTTTTTTGACCTGAATTTTTCAAGACCCAAAGTTTAAAGACTTAGTATATTCAAAAATGTAAAATTCACAGTGAGAAAATTTAAGATTATGCATGCATTATTTCAAGCATTATGAATTTAGGTTCAAGTTCTAGTGACACTGATTTAGCTCCATATATGGACAT